CTACTTAAGAACAATCCAACTTAAGAACAGCTCCATTTGCTAAATTTTGCTTCTACTTGAGAACAGAAATCCAAGATAAGAACAGGAAAAAAACCTTTCCTGCTCTTTTTTTAACCTTAGGTCATCTTAGGTTACAAAAATATCTCCCCCTAGTGGTAGAGTACATATTAACCAGCTTTGCATTAGTTCCTATGGGAACTAATGCTTCAATGTACGAACGCACCTCTACATAACAAAAAAACAGCCAGAACGGATTAATTGGTTTTCAGTCCATTCCTATGGGAAATTTTGCTTCAACTTAAGAACGTTTCAACTTAAGAACACCATTCCAAAACCGATTAAGTTCTTAAGTAGAGGTTCCACTGTAGTTTCTATGGACGGAAAAGAGCAGATACGGATTAAATGGTTTTCAATGCATTCCTATGGGAAATGCAGATTCAACATAAGAACTTTTCAACTTGAGAACCACCTTCCAATACGGATTAAGTTCTTAAGTAGAGACCCCACTGTAAGTCATCCATGACTTGTATATGGCATGATATACCATTTGAGGCAGTCTGACTGTGTAAGACGAGAGACAATGCACCACTGTCCTCATATTCTGCTTCTGGGCTTCCCAGGAATGTCTATTTGATGCAGTGCAGAATGTAGGATGAAGTCAGCCTTTGGTCTGGACCAACAGGGCTTTTTTTTTTAACTTCTGCTCTTACAAAGGTTGGCATTTCAGGTAAATCCAGCTATTGTGCAAGGTATCTGGATCAGCTGTTATTCAGAAAAAAAGAATCTTAGGGTGCAGTTACACGATCGAACTAAAGCGGGAGCTGGATCAGAGTTTTAATTATCAATTTAAAATCACATGGTAGGTGCATGGCTTGTAGATCGGTGTATGCATCCTCTTAAGAAAACTTTTAATCCGGGTGTAAGATGTGTGGTATATCTGTTGAGGGGGCTACATGGGCTTTTAAGAATCATTTAAAATTGGCACCATAAAGGCGTCAGCTTCCTATGTTTCATACTCCTAAGGTTATACATTCCTGGAATGAAAAGGCTGCACCAAAAATTTAAATAAAAACCCCACACTGCCATAGCTACTGGGAAGTGCTCTGGTTGCTGGCACATTATCCTGGAACCACTGTTGATGTTTTGGCGTGTACAGTCGTGCCCCGCTTTATGATTACCCCATTTAACGACGAATCAAACAATGGTTTGAATGGGGTTTTCCCGCTTTGCAATGATCGGTTGGTTCCCTGCTTCGGGAACC